AGAGAGAGACAGACAGACAGAGAGACCCACCCTGAAATATTTGAATGAGACTATGGCACAGTCTTGGTTTCACGAGACCTAGGGTCACACCTGAAATCTGAAATGCTGCTCCCAGAGACTCTGGGACAATCAGGCTAACACAGGCCTGGGGATGACTGTTCAGCCCAGTACCCCTCCAAGGCGAGGTGAGATCTTACTATTCATACTACCTTATCCACACAGCTATTCAGTTCTTCACTAAGAGCTTCCTTTTCTTTCAGCAGTCTTTCATTGTAGCTTAAAACACTAGAAATTTTTTGCTGGAAGTCCGAGAGGTCAGGACATCTGTGGGGCTGCAGGAGATACACAAATAGTTCTCCATCACCTCTTGGCTGTATTATAAATGGTGCATTTCCATGGCGCCTGAGATAGGGATCTACAGCTCTACAAGATACAATTAACTCTAACAAATTCTTTTCCCCCTGGCTTCTCTTTTCCCCTGTTGATCACCAACTGTCTGTAGAGATGGACACAAAAAGACATCGTTAATAAGAATCCTAATTTTCTACTTTATGTTCAGGGTAGAATAACACACAGCATTCTGCCATCAGTCTAACAGGGTCTCTGTGCTTTTTAAACCAGGAAATTCTTTTCAAAAGAATCTTGGTCCAGACTATAAAATCGGCAGCAGCCATATTCAAGGTACCAACACAAGGGCAATTTTCTGGGTCCGTCAGTATTTTTCAGGCTGTCCCATGTGCCCTTCCATGGAAGGTGCCTGAGTAGGACGCGGTGGCTTCCTCCACTCCACCGTGTGGGACCATGGCCAGGGGCTGGCTGTTACCTCTCAGCGTCAGCGCTGGTACTACTAGGCACCTTGGACTCAACAGTTTTAGGGAGCCAGCTGTCCTGTATATTTTAGGATGCTTCACTCCATCTCTGGGGTTACCACCAGATGCCAGTATTATTAGCACCCTCATTTACGAAAACCAAAACTATCCTGGGTTTGGGGAGCAATCCTAACCCCCTCCCCCCCTTATTGAGAACCACTGCTTTGAAGAGGCGAATTATACCATCCTTTCCCAGAACTTATAAAAGTCTGAACTTTCTTCCCTTTCTCTTGACCGTCACACACCTTCAATTCTTATCATCATGATAAGGCTCTTTCTACTTCCTGGAATTCTTTTACAGTTAGCTTTAGCAACAGGTCCAGCCAGTTTACGAGCGAGCGGTAGCGGTATCTTTTCTCCGAGTGCAGTACACCACCCACCCCCACAGTATCTCCAAATCTGAACAAGCTGGAGGATGCAGGAACATGTAGTTTTGAAGTACTCAATAGATACTGATACAAGGAAACCCCCCCTTTTCCACTACATTGCCACCCCTACTTTGTGAACACCTAGAAACCTTGGCAGCAATTTGGGGGGCTGCGAAATGGGTATGCCGCTGCGCAGGTGCTGTGCTTCTTTCCAAGGTAGCGCATGTGCAAGGGCTGCATGAGCTCCAGGAAGCCATGGTACCACACGAGCAGCACACGCGGGGGGCTCCGAGCCATAGGACAGCCATGCTGAGCTGTCACAAACATACTCAAGTGTCCCGGTGTCCGATGAAGGGATGCCCTACCAGAGGAGGCAAACCTCACGGCTCGTTCATCTTCCTGTTTATACGAATGCCTCTAAAAAATACGTAAGGAGATGAGCTGCGTGCTGTTTTCGCCTCTCCCAGATCACTCTCTTCCTGCTCTTCTCCAGCTTGGCAATGGTACGAAGCACGCCCTGCCCTGCTGGGTTCTGACAGTGCTTTTTATCATTTCCAAGACTCAACAACAGCCTTTCAGAATGTACAGGATAAAAGGGTGCCCGAGTTAATTTAGGGTAAAGTTGGTAATGGCAGCTTTGGGACACTCAGACACCAAAAAAAGGCCCCGAGGGCTTCAACCTCCAGGCTGTCTGCGTGGGCCGGTTTTAGTTACACCAGAATTTGATTAAGGTTCTTACTAGTACCTGCTGGCTATCAGAACTGTACGGGGCATTCTCAGAGACACAAATGCCCTGCACATTTTATAATCCTGTTCAGAAGGATTTTTTTTTTTTTTGGTGGGGAAGGCTGGCTCAGGACGCCTTAAGGGCAGGTCTGGTAAGGCATGCCGATCTGGGGATCGAACCACAGTATCCCAAACCTGACTGCCTTTGCTTAAGCGGGCACTTAAACAACTGAGCTCATGGGCAGGCCCCCTATAATCTTGTTAAGTAAGCAAGATTTACATGAATTAATTAGAGATTAACACAAACATAAACTAGATTCAATGTTTTAGCATTCAGGAGAAGAACATATTTATGGTTACAGGCTGAACAGATTTAATAAGAAGTATTTCATCTAAGGATCTAAAAGTGCCTAATTTTCACGTGTAGGGGTGCTGGGGATTGAACCTAACTAAGCCTTAGCACTGAGCTATATACTCAGCACCCCCCACACCTTTTTTTAGTATTTTTGAGACCTTTTTTTTTTTAGTATTTTGAGGTGGTTTTATTAAGTTGCCTGGGTTGGCCTCCAACCTTTTTTTATTTTTTAATGTATTTGGTACAGGGTCTCACGACGTAGCTCAGACTCATAGTGATCCTCCTATTTTCAGCCTCCCCAGCGCTGGGATTACAGGTGTGCATACCACACGTGGTTTCTGTGGCTGGCTCAGGGCATGGGGTGGGGCTGGTGTGGCATGTGTTCTGGGGATTGAACCCTGGTCCCTGCACTTGCCAAAGCAGGCGCTTAGTCCACTGAGCTATCTTGCCAGCCCTCTGAATGCGAACTTTGGATCGTCCTGCCTCAGCATCCCAGACAGCAGGGATTACAAGTATGTGCCACCACGCTTGGTGAGGGTGCCCTGACTTAAAGCAGTCAGGGGTTGGAGAAAATGAATAAAATGGAATGAAGTTCTCCGATGAAACAGTGTTGCCCCAACAGAAAGGCTCTTGTACACGATGGAAAGAATAAAATAGGGCAGCATTGAGGGCATTATTTCACATTCCTTTATACTTAAAAGTAAGCCTTTAGGTGGAACTCTGAAAGCCACATTTGTTAGCGAGAGTGCCTGACAGTTCTGTGAAGTTTCTTCTGCCTACATCAGATGGTTCAAACTTGCTACCAGCAGGAAGGTTAGGAGCGAACTATTTTAGCTGTGTCCTTACACATCACAGTGGATGGAGGGATAAACTTTATAAGCAAGAAAGTCACCTTTTAGGACAAAGTAGTGTTAACCTTATCACCTGGCTGAGAGAAAAGAGGACAATGGATTTCTTAAATCAAGGGGGCTGGGATTCATTTATATGAATGAGATTTTAGAATCTATAACAGAAACCAGTTATAGAACTACAGAACAAAACATGGAGAAGTAGCGAGGGAAGACTTTGTAAACAGCCTTGTACTTCAAGTCCTTGACTTTTCTAAGCATAATACTAAGCCAGTCAATAGGACACAAGGGACAGAAGATTTGGTGGCTGGAAACATTGGCCCACCCGCTCTGTGTCGTCCCAGGAAACGCTGCAGCAGTAAGCAGGGTCTTACTTACTTGTTTTATTTTCTCCAGTTCGCCCTTGAGAAGGAGGTTTTCCTGCTCCACGATGTGGGTCTGTATTTTCACTTGAGAAAGTTCTGCCTCCAGAGAAGACACTAAGGAGGAAGACTAGGAGGAAAATAAAAATGTCAGAGAATAAAAAAAGTCAGGTTCACAAAAGACAGCATTAGAGAAACAGCGATACTGATTCAATGACATGCTGTGTCCTAATGTCCCATGACTACCGAATGTGGTCTTCAAAGATTTTCCACTTAAGTGGCACGAACATGATTTCTAAGGTAGCTTTTACACATTTCTCCAGGGTAAAGTTATTCTCCTTGGGTGAGACTTTTCAGAC